GAACCAGTGTCTACTGCAAGAACAGCCAGTGCTCTTACCCACTGAGCCATCTCTCCAGTCCCACAGTTGGTGACTTTCTAAGAAAGAGATTGGTCATGTCCTAAGTTCCATGAGTTGCTGGAAGACAGAGGGAAAGGGTTGTTGACAGCTGATGGGGCTGGAAGCTGCCATGTCCCCTGTGTGTGCTAGTCCCCCTTTATCTATGAGGGATACATTCGAAGACCCCCCCCATTGGAACCACAGGCAGCACAGACCCCACGGATAGTACACTCACCTTACCCCTGCACGCCTTTGATACAGTTTAGTATTTGATTATTTTTTTGACCAGACTGGCCTCAAACTCACTGTAGTCCAGCCTGCCCTTAAACTGCTGATCCTCCTGACTCTCTCCTCCATCCCCTCCTCACATAGTGCTAGTGTAACAGGTGGGTGCCACTATTCCTAGCTAAATTCAATTTACAAATTAGAGGAGTTGAGTAACAAAACTAATGATAAAGTAAAACAACAATAATAAAACCATTTGCACCAGGATAAGTCTCCCTACAGTACTCAGGTCCTTCAAGCTTGTAGTCACAGTGATTCAGCAAAAGCTGAGTAGAAATGACTAGGCCTGTGCTTTGCCTGCCCCATTCCGTACAAAGGGGACTTCCCAGGGCTGAACAGCACAGGCAGGATGGGCAGGTTCAGTTTCTCCCTTCCAGTCACTCGGCCTTGGCACGCTCTGCCCAGCGCCCCAAGGTGTGGGAATCGGGCCACACCCTTGCTGGTCGCCCCGCTCAGTGGGCAGGGCCGAACCGGCTGCATATTGAGCCACAGGTGCCCTTCTGGCCCAGGATGCTGCCCTGCGGAGCATCGGACCGGTCCTGGCCATTGGCAGGTCGCCCTGGTAACCATCGGCCCAGCCAATCACTGCCTGGTACTACGTCGACTCTTTCTCTCTCCAACCCACCCCCACAGGCTGGAGCCTGGCTCATTTGGAGGAGGATGCAGGGGCATGCCTTGAGTTTTGTTCCTTGACTCAAAGAGGAAAGTGAAGAGATTAGGGCCCTGGGATGCGCCTTGGAAGTCCCTGGTAGAAGGCGAGCGTCCGCAGCCCACTCCCCAGCCGCCCACGGGCCAGTCAAGGGGGCATTGTCCCTGGAGCAGAAACTCCGTCCTGGCCATCTGAGGCCGTGGCTGGCCCACTCTCCACACCTCGTTTGGCCTAGAGACAGGGTCTCATGTGTCCCGGGTTAGCACTGAACTTGCTGCATAGCCAAGCTTGTCCTTGAACTTCTGGTCCTCTTGCCTCCACCTCCTTAGAGCTGGGATCACAGGCGCGCAGCAGCAGGCCTGGTTCATGCTGTGCAGGGGCTTCCTGCATACTAGGCAAGCACGCCTCCAACGGAGCTGCAGCTAAATACCAGGTAGTATTTCAAACATTTGGGAATAAGTCGCTAACAATTTGAAAATAAAAACAAGTGACTTCACTAAGAACTAGGGATTCTCAAATTCTGGAGGAAAATGGGAAGATGAGGAGATGTGCAGGGCTGAATCTGGGAAGTGGCTCCCTGCCCTGTAAAAGAACCAGGACCCAGACCTGTTGGCTTTGGAGACAGTTTCCTCTGGGACCCTGGATTGGGAACCTTGGTTTGGTAATTGTCCTATTATGGTGACAGTCTTCCCACCTGACCTTCAATCCACGGGTGGAGATGGGGATCTTTAGAGGTCACCACACTTCTGATGCCTGACTGGCCTCTACTACAACCTTGACCAGTTACTATCCAGGACTGCAAGCTCTTTCCCAGAGGACTTTGCTCTGAATTTGGACATCACCAAGGCTTAAGAAACACTTCCTGCTGAGCATGTTGGCACAGGCCTTTAATCCCAGCACTCGGGAGGGAAAGGTGGGAAGATCGGTCTACATAGTGAGTTCCAGGCCAGCTGGGGCTACAGGGAGACCCTGTCTCAAGAAAAATGATGATGAGAGAGAGAGAGAGAGAGAGAGAGAGAGAGAGAGAGAGAGAGATTTCCTCAGTTGGGGCAGGACTGTGCTTTTTTGTAATTTCTTTCCCTCTGAAAGTATTTCAGCCTCTGAAAACACACACGCAGAACCTTCATTTGCTAGGCATAAGTGGACAAGATTGCTGTTGGAGCTGACAAATTTCTAAGAAAGGGGCTGGTCATGTTGCTAAGCTCCACCATGAGTTGTTGGGAGACAGCAGGAAATGATTGTTGACAGCTGATGGGCTGGAAGCTGTCCTCTCTGTGTGCTAGTCCTCCTTTATCTATGAGGATACATTCGAAGACCACCTCCCCATTAGAACCACAGGGCAACACAGACCCCACGTGTTTTGTTTTGTTTTGTTTTGGTCTTTTTTGAGACCAGATCTGCCTCCCTCTGCCTCCCCTGTGCTGGGATTAAAGTCATGTGCCACCACACCCAGCTAGACCCCCACACATATTACTTTTACCTTACACCTGCATGACTTTGATGCAATTTAGTATTTTTTTTTCTTTTTTGGTGTTTTTGAGACAGGGTCTCCCTGTAGCTCCAGCTGACCTGGAACTCACTATGCAGACCAGGCTGGTCTTGAACTCACAGATAACCACCTGCCTCTGCCTCCTGAGTGCTGGGATCAAAGCCCTGTACCGTCACATCCAGCTGATGCAGTTTAGTGTTTGTTTGCTTGTTTTGGCCACACTGGCCTCAAACTGACTGTAGTCCAGGCTGCCCTTAAACTTCTGCTCCTCCTGCCTCTCCCCTCCTTCCCCAGTGCTAGGGTTACAGGTGCGTGCCCCCATACCCAGCTAAATTTAATTTATAAATCAGAGGAGGTGAGTGACAAAAATAATAATACAGTAGAAGAACAATGATTAAAAAGTAGACTATGATTTAGGTTATTTAAAACAGAATTACTTCTAGAATTTTCCATTTAATATTTCTACATCTCTGCTGACAAAGGGTAACTGAACCTATGTAAGTGAAATTACAGATAAAGGATGGGTGGGGGAACTACTGTGTTTCAATCTATAACTGCTCCCTGATGAACTTGTATCTTCTAATTAGGACAAGGAACTATTTTCTGGAGCTGGAGAGATGACTCAGCTGTCAACAGCCCTTGCCGCTCGTGCACAGGAAATGAGTTCAATTCCCAGCACCTATGTCAGGCAGCACATAACTGCCTGGGACTCCAGCTCCAGGGGCTCCAATGCCCTCTTCTGGACAATGTAGGCACCCACATGTAAGTGCACATACACAGACACACACATAATTAAAAATAAATCTTTTTGGAAAAGAATTATTTTCTGATTTTCCAATCTTACAGTGGAGTATGGTGCTGCACACTTGTAATCCCCTGCATTTGGGATGGAGAGACAGGAAGTTCAGGAATTCAAGGACATCTTCAGGTGCATATTGAGTCTGAGGCCAGCCTGGGGTATGAGATCTTGTCTCAAAAAAAAAAAAAAAAAAAAAAAAAAAAAAAAAAAAAAAAAACTTACAGAATGTTTTGTATTTATGTGTAACAAATACCTAAGGGGGGTTATTGAGGAAAAATTGAGAACACTTGACTTTATTTATTTTTTTGAGACAGGGTCTTACATTGTAGCCCAGGCTGACCTGAATCTTAGGGCAGTTCTGCCTCAATGTGCTATATGCCTAGTTAAGTTTTGGAGTTCATATTACTAGTTTTAGATATATCAGCTAACTGAGTCTGGAGGTTGACTTAAACATCTGGGGCATTTATTTGCAACTAACAGGTGCTTCTGACCCTCACACATTCCCTTCAGGGCTGTACCAAGAGCAGAGTGCTTGCAGCAGAGTACACACACACACACCACATACACACACACAATTCAAGTAAAAGAAACAATGTGTGTGGGTGGCAAAAGCCTGCAATTCCAGTACTTGAGGTACCTAATTTGCTTGGTCAATAGCAAATCTCCCCCCCCCGCCCCCGCAGATAGTTTACTTCTCACTTTGAGGATATATGTGTGTCTTACTATATAACTATAACTATAACTATATATATATATATAAGCTTACTGTACAGAACAGACTAGGCTAACTTAGAACTCACAGAGATCTACTTGCCTCTAAAGGCTTGCACCACCATGCCCAGCTCTTTTTTGCTTAATTTTTATTTATTTATTAATATTTTATGTGTATGAGTGTTTTGCCTGCTTATGTATAAGTGCACTGGTGTCATGAAATGCCCAAGGAGACCAGAAGAGGGTGTGAGATCCCCTGGAACTGGAGCCAGGGAAGGTTGTTAGCCACCATGTGGGTGCTGGCAACAGAATCTGGGTCCTCTCCAAGAGCAGCCAGTGCTCTTAATTGCTGAGCCATCTCTTCAGCCCTTTTTATCTATTTTTATCCCGATCTCTGTGCCATCAAGACCAGCCTGGTTTACATAGTGTTTATGAATATTTTGCCTGCACATATGTGAGTGCACCCCATGCATGCAGTGAATATGTAGGTCAGAAGTCAGTGTCAGATCCCCTGGAACAAGAGTTATTGGACCATTATTAGCTGCTATGTGGGTCCTGGGAACTGAACCTGGGTCCTCTGAAAGAGCAGCCAGTGCTCTTGACCCCTGAGCCATCCCTCCAGTCCTCTTACCCCTCTGTTCTGTAGGATGACTCTACCATAAGTTTTACTTGTTGAGACTTAAAACACATTTTGCTCTGTTCTGTGCTCTGATGTAAAACTTGGTGTAGAGTTATTAAACATGCACAAGCCCCAGCACCAGGCTTGCTCTAGCTTGCTGGTGGGAAAACTCGGTCACTGCCCTATTATCTGGCCACCAGGAGCAGGGTTGAGGTGACCACCGAGGTCATGCACCCAGGGAAGGGAGTTTTGCAAGGTCCCTAAGAGCTCTCAACCTCTCAAAGAAACGGATTCTTTTGCAGCAGGACAAAATCTCCTTCAGTCACAGTGATTCAGCAAGTCTGAGCCGAAATGGCCAGGCCTGTACTTTGCCCGCCCCATTCCTTGCAAGGCGACTTCCCAGGGCTGAGCGGCACAGGCAGGATGGGCAGGTCCAGCTTCCATCGGATATTTCCACTTTGTACAGAGGCCCCACGGCAGGGGCAGATGAGCTAGCCTCGACGTGCATTCAGATCCTCACAGCCCCTCTCACCCCTGCCTCCACTTCCAGATTCAGGGGTCGCTTCTGCGGCCCCAGCTGCCTCTCCCTTCCTCTCACTTGGCCTTGCCCTCTGCCCAGCGCCCTAGGGTACAGTTAACGGACCCCACCCTTGCTGGCCTCCCAGCTCAGTGGGCAGGGCCCAACTGCGTATAAAGCCGCAGGTGCTCTGCGAACCACTTACACAGAGTGCCCTAGCTGCAGCCCCTTAACATCTTCTGTTCCGGCCCTGGGCAGGTCGCCCTGGTAACCAGCAGTTCAGCCAATCAGCACCTGGTACTACGCCTGCTCTTTCTCTTCGCCTCCCCCCACGCCGCTGGAGCCATGGCAGGTGAGTGCTGTGCCACCTGGACTCTGGAACCTGGTTCATCTGGGAGGTGGATGCAGGGGCATGCCTTGAGTTTTGTTCCTTGACTCAAAGAGGAAAGTGAAGAGATTAGGGCTCTGGGATGCGCTTTGGAAGTCCCTGGTAGAAGGCGAGCGTCCGCAGCCCACTCCCCAACCGCCCACGGGCCAGTCAAGGGGGCATTGTCCCTGGAGCAGAAACTCCGTCCTGGCCATCTGAGGCCGTGGCTGGCCCACTCTCCACACCTCGTTTGGCCTAGAGACAGGGTCTCATGTGTCCCGGGTTAGCACTGAACTTGCTGCATAGCCAAGCTTGTCCTTGAACTTCTGGTCCTCTTGCCTCCACCTCCTTAGAGCTGGGATCACAGGCGCGCAGCAGCAGGCCTGGTTCATGCAGTGCATTTAAACGTATATATTAAACATATATATAAAACATATATGTTTTAAGCCGGGTGTGGTAGCACACGCCTTTAATCCCAGCACTCGTGAGGCAAGGCCAGCCTGGTCTCCATAGCGAGTTCCAGGACAGCTGGGGCTACAGGGAGACCCTGTCTCAAAAAAGGCAAAAAAAAAAAGAATATATATATATATGTATATATATATATATTTAATAAAAATAAAAAAGGTTTTGGAAGAGGAACTACTGTGCTTTCTTCTATGGCTGTCCCCTGGGCACTCATACGTTCTCCTCTAATTAGGATAGGAACTATTTTGTGGGGCCGGAGAGATGGCTCAGCAGTCAAAAGCACTTGCTGCTCTTGCAGAGGACCTGAGTTCAATTCTCAGCACCCATGTCTGGCAGTGCATAGCTGCCTGTAGCTTCAGCTCCAGGGGCTCTAGCGCCCTCTTCTGGACAATGTAGACTTAAACATCTGGTACATTTGTTTGCAACTAGCAGGCGCAGAGTGCCCCAGTGGGTTTGAGACTTGTCCTTCTTATATTTCTAGCAGGTTTCCCTTGATTTGCTTATTCTTCCTGCCAACCAGGTCATATGGGTAATAAGTCTACTGCTATCCTATCATTATTAAAACCCTTTCTTAGGCTGAGGCGGGCAGATTACCATGAGTTGTTGTTTGTTTGTTTTTTTTTTCTTTTTCTTTTTGAGACAGGGTCTCCCTATAGCCCCAGCTGATATGAAACTCACTATGTAGTCCAGACTGTCCTCTAACTCACAGAAATCTGCCTGCCTCTGCCTCTGGAGTGCTAGGTTTAAAGGTGTGCACCACCATGCCTAGCTGATTACCATGAGTTTGAAGCCAGCTTCGACTGTATGGTGAGTTTCAGGTCAGTCAGGAGTACAGTGTGAAACCCTGTCAAAAAAAAGTAAGCTGGGCATGGTGGCACACATCTTTAATCCCAGCACTTGGGAGGCAGAGGAAGGAAGAGCTCTGTGCCGTTGAGACCTACCTGGTCTACATAGAGAGTTGCAGGCCAGCTGAGGCTACAGGGAGACCCTGTCTCAAAAAGACAGAAAAAAAAAGAAGTAAAAGAAACCAACAAAGCAAAACAAGACCCTCTGCCTCTTTTTGTCAGAAAGTCTCTTTCTTGCTGTTCCTCATTCATTGGGGCTTCTGAGGTGCTGGGACTACAGGCGTGCACCACCATGCCTGGTTGTGTGGGACATTTCCTACTCAAACCATAATGAGTTAAACCCAGGGCCTGTAGTGTGCAAAACTCACACTCTGAAGCTCCAGGGCATGTCCAGCCTCGTTCGTTGGTTCTTTGCTTATGGCTGAAATAAATAATGCTATGATTTCAGTCCCTCGCCAACATTTACACTGGGCTGGGGAGATGGCTCGTCAACAAAGTGCTTGCCATGCAATCATGAGGACCTGAGTTCAGATTCCCATGTTAAAAAAAAAAACCTGGGTGGCATGTTTTTATAATCTCTGTGCTGGGCAGGGAGACAGGAGGATCCACTAGGCTTTCTCTAAGATCTATGATCTCTCTAGCCACGTGTGTTTGGTTTTTTACAGTACTTCCCACTGAGTGGCCTTTTAGTTACGTTTCTTCCCACTGAGTGGGCTTTTAGTCCAATTAGGTAGCTCTTGATTGCCCCTAAGATAAGAGTGCCACTACTGCACCAATGTCATATGCTGTGCTAGTCATTGATATGGTTATTTGGTCTTGAAGCTGGGGTTAGACCATTGATGTTTCCCTTGGCACCTTCATAGCACTCTCCAAAGCTATGAGAGCTCACCTTCAGGGGAAGTGGTTGCAGATCAGTTGCAGCTCTATTCCTCCAAATTCTGTGTCCAAAGTATGTCCTGTCTTCAGCAGTAGGGTCTTACCTTCAAGTTCTGGGAGGCCATCAAGGGCTGTGGCAATAGCCTGTGTAATTTTGGGAGTCTCTTGGACCACCCTGGCCAACAACTATGGAAGGTTTCTCCTGTCTGACACTGTTCCTTGTTATGTAGCTTTTAGCTATACACATGGGCTCATGTATAGATATTGTATGTATAATTTGTCATTAGGTTGTTGGACTAATATGAGTCCCTCTGTTTTTTTTTTTAAATACTAGCTAGGCATTATCTCTCCTCTCCCTTCCCCCATCTAACCATTCTGCCATGGTGTCCCCATTTAAAGTGTTCCCATTTTCCCCATCTCTCCCTCGATAATACTAGTTTCCTATGGTCCCACCTCTCTTGAATTCCTTCTTTTCCTTTATCCCCAAAGGAATAACCTTGTATAACCCCCCTTTCCTTGTATAACCCTCCTTCTCCCCTCCCATTTAAATAACCCCATTTTTAATTGATTATTTTTTGTATTTCATACAGAACATCCCAAACAATCTTAATCATCTTTATACCCCCATCCCAAGTGGCACCCTCCCATAACCCCCCTCACTGGAGCCCATATACTCTGTCATCCCTGTTACTGCTCATTGTGTTGTCAGTGTCCCCAGCTGTTCCCCAGTGCAAGTCCACCCTCTGAGTCTAGTCAGCCTCTCTAGAGTCCCTTGTCTTAGGAAGAACAGCTCTTCTTCATCTAGTAGCAATCAGTTGCCAACATTCCTTTAGATAAGATTGGGGTCTGCTGTTCATTTTCCCAGTTCTATGCTGAGTTACTGTCTGTCTGAGCTTGCATGAGACTTGTGAATGCCGACACATTTGCCATAGAACCATATGAGCAGGTTCCCAGGAGTTTGTAGGACTCTGTTTCCATATGGTCATGCTCATCCTCCGTGGCTCTTACAGTCTCCCACTCCCTCTTCCACGATGGTCCCTGAGCCTTGGGTGAATGAAGTTTAATAAAGGGGTCCTGTCCAAGGACCATTATTTAACAGACTTGATCTCTACACGTTGGTCTTTTGTGACCCTTTGTGTTTCTGGCCCTCCGCTGCATGAGGATCTTCATTATTGAGAACCAATTCCTTAGTGTCCTCTTCTTTATCCCTGTTCTGTGTTCATAGAGCCTTGGGTGTAGAGGTTGCATTGTAGATGTGTCCCTTAGGCCTGTAAAGAGCCCAGTATTTCTCCTTTAGTAATACCTGTCTTCTACTGTTCTTTTTTACCAGGTTCTTTCTTTCCCTTTACCTCCCTGGTTCCTTTTCATTATCCTGGTTCCTGTAGTTACATCTGGACACATACTCACATATAAGGATTTGGTTCTAGGATTCACATATGAGGGAGACCATACATCATTTGTTTTTCTGAGTTTGTGTTACTTCACTTAATATAACAGTTTCTAGTTCCATCCATTTACCTGCAAATTTAGTGATTTCATCATTCTTTACTGCTGAGTAGAACTCCATTATGTAAATATATCACATTTTCGTTATCCACTCGTCAGCTGAGGGACACATTTGCCTAGCCATCTTGCCAGTCCTGGACTTCAGGTTTTCAGATTAGGGATGCTCATTTGGCAATCTTGACAAATATTTCCCAGTCTGAGAACTGAGGTCGGAAATGTATCTGGTCCCCAGCATAAGGGATCCTCGCTCAGCCTGTCACCATTTTCTTTACATGCTTTGTGCGTGTCAATAGTGAGAAGAGTCCTGATTGTACTGGCACACCCAGAAAAGACATCATTCAACTATGCCATGAAGGAGGCTGCTGTAGAGACTCTGAAGAGGAAAGGATGGGAGGTGATGGTGTCTGACCTGTACGCCATGAACTTCAACCCAATTGCTTCCAGAAAAGACATCATAGGTAGGAGCTTCCCTTTCCAGGGGATGGTGGGACCCACGGCCCAGTCTCAGCTCCTCTTTCCTCCTGGCAGGTAAACTGAAGGATCCTGAGAACTTTCAGCTTGCTCCCGAGACTGCTCTAGCCTACAAAGAGGGCCGCTTGAGCCCAGATATCGTGGCTGAACAGAAGAAGCTGGAAGCTGCGGACCTTGTGATATTTCAGGTATGGTGGGGACTGGACATCCTCAGGAGGTGTGTCTGTTATGGTCTTAGGCTTGTCACCTAATTAGCTTTGGGACTTCAGAACTGTCACTTCTGAAACACAGCACACTCTCTGTGAATAAGTTTGTCACTTCATAGGTGTCTGTCCTTCTTTATTTATTTGATGTATTTATTCTGATTTTCTGTATATGAGTGTTTTGCCTGCATGTATGTAAGTATACTCAGGTTGTGCAATGCCCATGGAAGCCAGAACAGGGTGTTGGATAACCTGAAAATGAAATTATGAACAATTGTTAGCAGCCATGTTGGAGCTGGGAACTGACCCAGTATTCTAGAAGAGCAGCCTGTGCTCTTAACTGCTGAGCTATCTTTCCAGCTCTTTTTACTTTTTAATTTTTATTTTGATCTTTTTGAGATGGGGTCTCCCTGCAACCCCAGCTGGCCTGGAACTCACTATGGAGACCAGGTGTTATGGAGCCTGGGACTACTGAGAAAAGACCACCAGACTCAATTCAGATCGGGATAAGATTTTATTCAAGCTAGCTTGGACTGCAGTCTCCCTATGGGGTTAGTGCTGCAGTGGGGAGGGAGAAGAAAAGGGGATCTTTTAAAGCTAAAAACTGCAAAAGGAATGTTGACAAGGTGGTCCCTGAATAGCGGGGAGTCATGGTCTACATGTCAATGTACCCTAAAATAGCAAAACAAGCAAGTTACAGAAGCCAAAATCAGCAGTTAGTCATATCATAACAATTTTGTTTTCTATATGTCTAGAAAGCAAATGGCTGTGGCAGCATTCTCCTGGGAGGAAAGGAGGAAAGGGGTCAAGGTTTCTTAAAAAGAATCCTTGAGCTAGAAATTACACTATGGCTAAGCTTTTAAGATGGCTACTTTATCCAAAATGGAGTCAGTTTGGTCAGTACAAACTGAACAAATTCCCAGAAACTTTGTCAAGACCAAACCATGAAGAAAGAGAAAAATCTGAATTGACTTATCATTAGTAAAATAATTGAACCAGTAATTTAAAAAAGAAT